AATTAAATTTTCCGTCGGGTGGTAATAGTTTGTTGCCGGAATTTCCCTGTAACCCGCGAAAATTTGCATAAAATTGTAATTTTCCATGGTTTTTCGTGTTTGCTCGCGATCTAGGCGTCGCACTAACTTCAGCGTGGCGTCAAAAGATGCGGAATTAAATTTTCCGTCGGGTGGTAATAGTTTGTTGCCGGAATTCCCCTGTAACCCGCGAAAATTTGCATAAAATTGTAATTTTCCATGGTTTTTTCGTGTTTGCTCGCGATCTAGGCGTCGTACTAACTTCAGCGTGGCGTTGAAAGATGCGGAATTAAATTTTCCGTCGGGAGGGAATAGTTTGTTGCCGGAATTCCCCCTGTAACCCGCGAAAATTTGCATAAAATTGTAATTTTCCAAGGTTTTTCGTGTTTGCTCGCGATCTAGACGTCGCAAAAACTTCAGCGTGGCGTCAAAAGATGTGGAATTAAATTTTCCGTCGGGTGGTAATAGTTTGTTGCCGGAATTTCCCCTGTAATCCGCGAAAATTTGCATAAAATTGTAATTTTCCATGGTTCATAGTTTACACTCTTGACTCCATCACTCAATCGGTGTTTGTGTACAAACAACTTGTTTTTATCACATTGCAGCGCGTCCGATGTGTTCAGCAGTGTTTGTTCGTTCCACTTCTTACTTAGTCGATCGTGCGCTGCCGCGTGGTGAGCGCGTGTCTAGATGCGGGACGGTTTTCGTGGCGACTTATCGCGTTTCTTGTAATTTTAAATCGGTAGTTGAATTAGAATTGGTCAGCAAAGATAGAATTTAGAATTAACAAACGAATGCTGAGTGTCGTTAATGAGTTATCGCGCGTGGAACCCGTGGCTTTAATAATGTACGCACGTGTTTGCTGTCGGCTGTCGGATGCCTTCCGTCGGCTAAAAATCCCTGGTGGACTTGTTTTGTGTATTCATTTAATTATTTATTTGAATAAACATCGTTTGTGCTTCTAGTGGATTATTTCAATAGCGAGGCGTAAGAAAATGTGGTACGTAAATACTATATTTTATGAACATTTGACGAATTAAACAGTAAATGTAAATTCATCAGCTGATAATGAAAAGCGATTAGTCACATAATTAAACACTCTAAAAATAAGTAACAATAGCTGTCACATTAGATCCCGTTTTTTGTGCTTTTGTTCCTTATTCTGTCTGTAAATGGCTTGACATGTTTGCTAATTTGAGTTTAAGAGATCTTAGTTCAGTATTGCTTTAAAAGGTGTATAATAATTAGTAATTGGATTATTTATTATGTTTCTAACCCCGCACCTATCACTTCTCCTAGGTATTCAGAAGGAAACAGGTTATAAAACTTGCACTTTTGAAGTTTTTTTGTATCACCCTGTATAAAAAAATTCCTAATGGTCAGTAAAAAATTAATTATTTTTTTTATTGTTTTGATGCGATTTTCTTTTTAAATTATAGATTTTCTTTTGGTAACACCCTGTATATAATTTTCCAGGGATGCAACGCGAAAACAGTGCGCAATTTGCTATTTTCTAGTGTAAACATATTTTAAAATGACGTCATGTGTTCTGTAGGTATTGAAATTGCAAGTTCTGAACTTGTATTGTATGTAATTTGTTAATAAAGAAATGTTAAAGGCAATGGCTCTGTCTTATAACTTGTGCACCCCTTCCTTCTATCATTTCAGGTACAGGTCACCACTTGTAAAGTATTTCTCAGTGTTGTGGTCGGCTCTGTGAGCGGCGACACTTAGAAATATCTTATAAGTCCTCAAGGAGTTCTCCCACTCGGGGGATGATCCCCACTATAAAAATTGTTAAGGTATCCTGTATGATTTGTGTACTCCATCTTTCATTTCAGCTACAGGTCAGAACCTGTAAGAATATTTTTAAGTGTCCCCTCTCTTGAGGCGACTTAAAAATTAGAAATATTTTTACAAGTTCTTAAAAGGATGTCCTTATAAGGAGTTCCCTCTCTCTGGGGATGATCCCCCACCATAAAAATTGTTGATATGCCTGATAATTCCGGGGATGAAGCGCAGAGACATCGTAGCTGTAGGATGGGCCGGGAGCAATGGACGGATCGAAGCAGTGGGCGATCGACCAGAGCGCCGGAGGCGCTCTGGGAGATCGACCGTGACTGTCTTATAACGACACGTGCCAAAAAATTTAAAAATTCTGTCACCCCTATTCTCTTTTCTTCCTGTACTCTCTTCTTCTTCTTTTCTTCTTACTTCTCCTATACTCTGTCTCTGCTGCTGCTGCTCTCTATTTGCTCCTCCACCATCTTCTACTTATTCTTACTGTTGCTTCGTCGTACTCTGCTTTTCAAGTTATTTCTAACATTTGAATCTTGAATTTTTGTGGTATGCAACCCACATTTCGTAAATTTCTTATTATTTAATAAAATTGCCTTCTACAACTGAGATTCGATCCACGAACCTCCAGCATGCTAGCATATGCACATGCCACCTGAGCCACAACGCTCACTTATCAAATCCTATTCGTTTCAGGTATAAATGTTGTTGGTTTTCTCACATTTTTAAAAACGACAATACTGTATAGCAATCATTCAAACACCTGCAGTCAAATGTAACTTTTGTAACTATTTCTGGAAACGGCAATGAGGATACAAAAATAAATATGCCCTTATACGCAACATTAATTTAAAGAATATTTTATTGAGACTCATTCATATTTAAATATCAATACAGATTATTTGATGATAATTAATTATTTAGTATTCAATGTGTTCACTGTTCCTGACCGGAGGACATGCGACTACCGGCGGGTAACGAAATTCACGCGAGAACATAATAAAGCGAGTTTAAATAGTATAGTGAAATTATATATGAGTAAACATGGATGAAATAACAGTTACTGCAGCCACCTCATGGCCAACAAGTTTAACACATCACATGATAATTGTAAATAGAATTGATTCTACTCACTTTATTGCCCTGCATTTTCTTTTTACACGGGGAACAAATAAATTATATTACATTTTTAGAAAAATGCTAAAAAAGAACATATTTTCGCGGCCATTTTGAGACAATTTGAACTGAAATTCGCAAGGTTTTAAGGGTGCACCTTGAAAAAGGACTCGTCTTCTGTCATATAAAATAGAAATAACTTAAATATTGCCAAGGGTTCGCAAAATTTGACCAGTTTTCCACCGTAAGTTTTGAAAAATGCAAAAAAAGGGCAAATTTTCGCGGCCATTTTGAGACAGTTAGGACTGAAATTTGCGAGGTTTCAAGAGTGCATCTTGAAAAAGGACTCTCCTTCTATCGTATAAAAGGGAAATAATTCAAATATTGCCAAGGGTTCGCGAGATATGACCAATTTTCCATAGTAAGTTTTGAAAAATGCTACAAACTTTAGCAAACTTTAGCGGCCATTTTGAGACAGTTAGGACTAAAATTCGTGGTGTTTCAATGGTGCATCTTGAAAAAGGGCTCTCCTTCTATCATATAAAAGAGAAATAACTCAAATATTGCCAAGGGTTTGCGAAATATGACCAATTTTCCATCGTAAGTTTTGAAAAATGCTAAAAAAGAGCAAACTTTAGCGGCCATTTTGAGACAGTTAGGACTGAAATTTGCGATGTTTCAAGGGTGCATCTTGAGAAAGGACTCTCCTTCTATCATATAAAAGAGAAATAACTCAAATATTTCCAAGGGTTCGCGAGATATGACCAATTTTCCATCGTAAGTTTTGAAAAATGCTGAAAAAGGGCAAACTTTAGCGGCCATTTTGAGATAGTTAGGACTGAAATTCGCAAGGTTTCAAGATTGCGTCTTGAAAAAGGACTCTTGCTCTATCACATAAAAAAGAAATAACTAAAATAGTACCAAGGGTTCGCGAGATATGACCTGTTTTCCATCGTAAGTTTTGAAAAATGTTAGAAAAGAGCAAATTGTAGGGGCCTTTTTTAGGCAGTTAAAACTGAAATTCGCGAGGTTTCAAAGGTGCATCTTGAAAAATGAGTCTTGCTCTATCATATAAAGAAAAAATAACTAAAATATTTAAAATATTTTATAAGATATTGTGAAGGCTTGGCGAGATGTAATCCATTGTCCACGGCAAATTTTACAAAAATGCAAAAGCACTAATTTTGGCGACGCGCATGTGGAACGCGATAAAAAAACATACAAAATTACGATTCGCAAATTTGAAGAGAAAATATAATTGAATTTTAAACTTACCAATGCACAGCTCATGGCACTCAAGACACGCCAAGCGCTGTAAATAAGCGAAAAGAAATTAAATCAATTCATGAGATATAATACATACAAGTATTATGCATATATTCACACATTACTCGTAGCGAGAAAACTTGCAATACAATCTATTTTGCCTATAACAATGTTCTTATAGATGTTACTTACCGAAGTGCTAATGGTTCCCCAAATGCATGATTACCGCATGGCAGTGTCCAATACAAAACCCGACATTTTTAATCCCAAGATGCGTGGCGACCGACACACCGCGACCGTTACTTGTTATTCGCCGATTATGGGCATTCCACGCACAAGTATTCATTAACAAAACACTGCTAATGCTAATTATAACTAAATTGTCCATTGACAATCAAATATAATACAAATTTCGAAAATAGAAGTCCGATAAAACAATACGCGTCGCACGAAACACGCGTGATTCAACCAGCGACCGGCACAAAACTGGCTGCAATCTATCGATAGCGTATGCCGTAGCCGAGCAAGCAACGTCGCGAGAGACACTTCAGCTACACTCAAAACTAAACTATCGTGCAGCTATGTGCATTGTTTTTCGCTCGGCGAATGCGATAAAGAAGTTGTTTATAAACAAACGCAGGTAACGAAATTGGGTCCCAAACTATTCCCGTGCCCACGTTTTACAATAAACATAAAATAAGCAGTATAAGTTTATTTTATGATTTTTAGTTTATGCTAGTGCCATCTATGAATGATACAGGTATTGTCCTAGACAACAACAATAATTAAAACAATTAAAAAAGTAAAATATATTACTTTATATTATTTATAATTATTATTCAGATCAATAATTATTCTATACAATTTCTAAGTTTTGATCGAATTGGCAGCGTTGACACATAGTGATATTTAGTAAAATCACTCAAAAAGAAAGTAGCCACCTCATACAAAGCATGAAGTTGTTTCTGTAACAAGAAAAAAAAACATTAAAATTAACAATAGCAATAACTAATAATAAATAGATTATCTAATTTATACTTAACTCACTTTATTAGTAATAAACTGTGTACGATTACTCCGAATCCTTCTAACAATCATACAAACATCAACAACTTGTTCAGTCAATATGCTATCAATAAGATTACAAGCCGCAATATACAATCCAGAACCATCAGCACCATTCCTATTAAAACCAAAAACAAACAAAAAATACAAACTCAATAAAATATTAACACTTCAATAATAAATACCTGCACATTACTAATACACTATTAAATTTCGTACACTTCATCCTAGTCATCTGCAATCTCGCTGTGATAAAAATTCGCATATTCTCAGGAACATCCACATCCAAACTCCATCCTTGCAGTTCCATAAACTTAACAGTTATCTCTTTATTAGAACCAGATTGAAGTTGTACATTCATCGTATGTATATGAAAATCACTCAATTTGCTTGTATCTACATACTCAACAGTCGTTCCATTCGCAGTTTTAAAATATCTTCTTTTCTCCAGAAAACAACATCATAATCAGGTTGTAAAGAAACAATAAACTTTACATTATTATCAACAACAAGTCTCCAGAATTCATCAACTGTATTCTCAAGTGGATGTTGTGTAGCAATGAATTTTTTAGACTGGTGATACCCATCAACAAATATAGCATTAATATAACTCGATTCTTCTTCTTTTAAAGGTCGCAAAAACACCGCACATGATGGATTTGCCACAATATTTTGATCACGATTCTTCGTACAATCATTATGGAACCACACTGGACTCTCCGGTTGTAAAACACTCTCCTGCCACATAGATTCTGAAATATCTTTCATGTGTTGATCTAGAGTATCATCATCAATTTTAGAATATGCTACAGAAAAGTTTTGACTTGGATAATGATGTTTTACTTTTTCTAAGTATTGAATAAGGATTAAATGTATTAAAAGGTATTCTTCATATGTTTCTATAAAATTTCTCGTTGGTTTCGGAAAGTTTGAAGAAGATTACTTATATCCATTTGATTATTATTTACTGCTTGTTGTAAACATACATCTACCATTATAATCACCGCAGAATTTATTCCAGAGTTATTTGAGTTATGCACCAGGATAGGATGCTTTGAAGAATGCGGAACAGTTTGCAGACATTCCAGAAATGACTTAAGTATATAAGGATACCATGGGTTCTCAAGTTCCGAGTAATATTTAAAGTGTAACAGTTTAATTTTCTTTAAATAACTTCCTTGGGAAACTTTCAAATTATGTACATCATAATTTAAAAAACCTTCAACAGTTTCCGATATTATTTTTATATCTCCAAATTCAATTGAATCATTATTAGAGAAATCTGGCCAGTATTTAATTATAAATTTCTTTTTGATATCATCACTTGATGCTAACAGGATAATATTTTCTATATGCTCATCGATAATCATTTGCCAAAAATTCTGAATGTTTGTTTTCGATGGTGTTGAACACATAATATAAGCATTTATACAGTTAGGAGTCTAAAAATATATATACAGAGTAAATTAAAACTTGAAATCATGGAAGTAAAAAAAATTACTTACATCAATAAAACTTGCTTTTAATTCTGTATCAACTTTAGAACAAGGGTTTCCTATGCTATTTTTTGTCAATCCTTCGATTCTTGTATATTGCTCTTGTAAATACCCACTAAAAACAAATTCCTTTGTATATTCTTCTAAATCATCAACTTTTATTACATTAGAAATAATTTTATCTTTTGGCACTTGTCTTGAGCCAATTGGTAATAACGGAACATCCGAATATGAATCATCCTTTAATTTTGCAGGTGCATCTACTTCAGCAATTTCGGTATAAACATGTTTCTTTCTACTCGGAGTTGTAATTCGGCGTTTAATAATCAATCCGACGATTAGCATTACTCCCATTATTATTAGAAACATGACAATTAACCATTGATTCAACCCAGAAATGTAGTTGTTTAGCATTATTGGTGATTCTTTGACATCATTAATCAATAATTTTGAATTAATTGATAATGGAAACCAAGTAAAATATGTTCTTATGCTAAATTCGTCTACAATCAGTAGTTTAAAATTACATTCATCAATTCTACAATTGAATTCATCTGGAGAAGTATTCAAAACAATTTCTATATCTTCAATCATTGTGTTGTTTATATGTTTATAATAACCAATTGTCTGACATTCTAAATCAGAATATTCTGGAATATATAAAGTTGGTGTACTTCCACAATATTTCCTATTTACAGATTGATTCAATTGTTTTGAAAATACTACAACATAAACACTGCTATTCTGCATCACTTTGCCTTTAGATACCGAAATAGTCATGGAATTGTTAGTAATAAATGTTATTCTAGGTTCCCATAAAAATCGAGTTTTATTGATATTATCCCACTCGTGAACTGTTACTGAATAATTCATTCTGGAAGTATTCTGTGTCTGAAATGCTAATTGTAGATTTTCATTCCGTAGTGATGCACATTTAATATTTTCTGTATCACCCATTATATTATATTGTATTGTTGATTTGTGAAACATGCTATCATCTGGATCACATACATCGGTATAAACCACGTTTCTAATCGCAACGTTATCATCTTGGCTGTATTCAATTCGTAGAATATATTTATCTCCTTTGTTTGTTGTACTGTTGAAGGATATAAAATTCCAATTGGTGTTTCCATGGCTTTGATAAGTTTTCTCTGAAATCACTGCAGAGTTTGCGGCACTTATTAATTTTAAAGAAATTTCTTTTCCGAAATTCGTCGCTAAGAAAATACAGAGATTTTCTGAGTGTACATCAAGTACATAACTATTTATATGTTGGTTTTATGAGTTCGCGCTTCAAAATAATTATCTAAAAATATTTAAATTTAGAATAATTACAATAATCTGTATCGTTAAAATTGAAATAATTACATTCGTGATATTTCCATAAAGCATTTTTTGAAGATGAAAAACAAGAAATAATTGAATAATCATTAAATTCTGTACGATTTGAAGGAGAATACGATAATAAAATGTTATTATCAATGATTATTTGAAGATTTTCGTTATAATATCTGATTGTTATATGGCTCCAGCGATCGTTTGAAAATTTAGGCGAATATTGTGTCTAAAAATTATTAAATAAAGTTGATTTAACAGAAATTAATATAAAATACCTTTTTAAAAGTTATACATTGTCGTGAATCGTCTTCATTTTCAACACTAAATATACACTTTTGTAAAATAACTAACGTCGAATGGATTATATAGAAGTAACAACTCTTGGGTTTTATGTCCTCCTCTGTGCACATTTGAATCTCTGCATTCGACTTTCCCAAAAACGAAAAATTTAATTCAAATTGATTCAGAATTTTAAGTCGTGGTAATTCTCTATTGCTTCGTATAATTTTAAATTCTATAATTAAATTATTAAATTTATTAAAACTTTAAAAACTAAACTAAATTTATTTATTTATTATTATTCTATTACTTTCCCACGTGTAATCCAGCACAGGCCCAAACAATCCTTTGTATGCAAATTCAGTATTCCAGCCATTTGTACTCCAATCAAAGGGTAGTGGTTTTAGAAATTTATTTTTTACTGAATCTGGTGGAATTAACTTAATATTTGGTGATGTGATCCATGCAACTGCATCGTTAAAATTATTACTCTCACAAACTGCTTCAACTTTTGTTGAATTCTCAATAATATTAACATGTGCTTTCAATACATTGTTTTGAACCTCACAATACACATGTGCTGCGAGAAACAGCAGCAACACGCGCATTTTGCAAACTGACACATTTTTAATAATTTAACTTCGCAAATCGCGCGATGTATAGATTCTTGGAATTTGTTATCTAATCACCAAAAGTATACAATGGGAACATATTTTATCACTTTGGGTTACTCTGTAATAATGCAATTTGATTTTTGTGCTTCCACCTTTAAATCGCAAGTTTTTACACGGACGGCAAAGATCGTAACTGAAGTATTTTAGTCACGGTCTTTAGTCACGAGGTGGAGTATTTGCCTATGGTGCAAAATTACAAAAAAAATGACAAAAACTAATGTGGTAAAAGTAAAAAAAAATAGCATAAGCATCATGGGGCTAAACGTTGTTAAACACTTGCTACATTCGTTTTTAATCATTCTCGTGAGTAAAACTCCCATTTAACTACTAGATACTAAATATACTATTTTATTGTCGAGATAAAAATATATAACTGATTTGGACAGTTTGATAAATTATAGAAAATGCAAACTGCATTAGCCATGCTTCCGTGCATTCTGTCTAAGGAATTTGATAAATGCGATAAATCAAATTCATCTCGCAAGTTAAAAGCATCGTTGGCAGATAATCAAATATCATTTTATAATATATTACTCTCTATTCCGTAAAACTAAATAAAAGATAATTATCACTTATTCTACTTTAGTTCCTTATCGCACTTGAAAAATGATCGAATTCACTCGAAAGTAAGCCGTCTCGAGCGCGCATTGCGCACAAAATCACTAAGATTAGATTCCTGTTTAAACACACTTTCATTTCGATGATGCTTGTTCAAGTATTCTCTGATTTCGACGAATTTCCATCTCGCAACGCGCGCGATTTATTCGCATCGATTTCCATTCTCTCTTCTTTTTTTGCTTTCAATGAATAGATTAATTGATTTCGTTTATTTTTACAACGAAAAGAGTTAAATTTATTCAATGTGACGTTAAATATTTAATGTTGATTCAAGATTATTGAACGAATATATCCGGTACATTGGTTTTGTTCAAGTTCTAAAAATAAACGTTGGAATGATAAAAAAATTGAAAAGAAAATGGAAATACTCGCGGGAAGAATGCATGGAAGCGGTGGAGTGGAAAAAGATGAATACTCGTTTAAGTGGCTTTCACATTGTGACAATTTTCCAGTTAATCTTCTTTACATTCAATAAGAAAAACGAATAGAAATAAAAAAATAGTAAAAACGCAAAAAAATATATTTTAAATTTTTTCGGTTAAATTTGTATTATTCAATAGAAATTTGCTTACCAATCCATAAAATACGAGCGCAAATTTTATCGGACGCCGTCAGGTGTGTTAAGACGTCGAATCCCGCTGGATTTCCGGCTCTTGCGTGGAATGCAGCGCGCAAAGCGCATATAAAGAGATAAAGCCGGGAAGAAAAATGTGCTACTGCATCCAACAACCTCACACGGCGTAAAAATACACTGGAAATCTATAACAAAAAAATTCAACCCCATCTTACTTGGTATGTCGAGTATTCTATACGATTTTATGCACCAGTAACTCGATACTATTTGCTTACTATGCGAAATAAATACCATAAAATATAAACAAATATTTCACAGTCAATAATTTTATTTCAAAATGATTTTTGACGCGTTTCTTCCCTTGAATATATTAATCCGCACATTTCTAGTCAAAATAAAAGAAATTGTGAATATTGAGAATCACCTCGAGCTGTACGAGTACGAGTATTCGCCGACAGCAGTAACCACTTCGATCGAAACTTGGAACATTGGGCACATTTGCGAATTCGTGTCGATATTGCCATCGCCCGTGCGCAGCTGAACAATGTCTGCTCGAATCCACAATACTCCTACTGGTAGAAGTTCCAGTTTCATATTTTTGCGTTTTTGCCGCCAGCAAACGTCAGCGCGTTGCATGCGCGCATCAATTTCGCATCATCTATAAATAGGAACAAAGAATCGAATCGTGTGGATAGCTAAATGTATTTTATTTATTTTTTGTGGTATTTGCATAAATAAAGTCTAAACGTAAATTTTCCCATTGGTTTTCTTTAGCATACGTAAAAAGAAAGGTCATAACCTATATTATGTGAAAAGTGAGGAGTGCGGAGGGTGAGAATATCTCCGGCTTTTACGAATTGTGCCCGTTTGTCTTTTTTTGCGTTTTTTCTTTGCCTTTTTTGCTTATCCAAAGTGATTTTTTCCACGCCTCTGCATGTCTGCGCATCGTGTGATAAATAGCTACGCGTCGAATGCAAATATTATCGATTCAAGTCAACATTCAACTATAAAAATTCCAAAATATGCAGAAAATAAAATTTTTCTGTCATTTCTACTCAAAAACCATTCAAAAAATAAAATAATAAATATTGTAGTTTAATATTATGTGAGTTAATGATTGGTGTGATTGGAAGATAATTAAATTCGTGCTTTGTGAGACGCGCAAAGGGCGCACGGTTCTGATGAACACAATGTCCGCCCCATTTGCACATGTCATAGGCATTCCCCCCGGTACGGTATTATTAATACATGCATATTTACACAGGCGCCGCCAATTTATCGGTGAATTGCTTATCACCGCAACCCTCGCCGCCCGAAACTATCGCGCCGCTGTAACTACAGTTGCCTACCTTTGTTGTTTGATTATTGAGGGTTGCGATGCAGCTCATGTCTGCCAATTAGTAAATACACAATAATTAACTATTGATAAACACAGGAACGCACTGAAAATCAGACCTAAAATTAAACGAAATTTAAAAACGCATTAAAATATTATTTAATATATAATTTATTACCTCAACTCTTCAGATTCAATCGTCTCATCTTGTTTAACAATATTTTCTGCTCGCGATCCACTCTCAGCTTAATAATACTTATCTATACATGATAATTTCAATTATTTAGTAGTACATTATTAAAAGTAGTCACATTTGATGTTTTTAACATGTTTCATGTAATATTTACAATGTTTTTACTCATATTTTAATTATAGGAACTACAAATGTCTGCAAATAAATAATTTTACAAAAAATTGAGCGTGATTATATTAAATACTAAATAAAATTTGAAAATTTAACGCTTTTCGCTTGGTTTCCAACACAATTATCACAATATTAAAAATATTCATTTATTTTATAATTCCGAGCATTTTGACGAATTTCATTATAAATATTAATGCAGGATAATTCCCGGAAATTTATTTTTAATGCCATGATATTTATCCAATTACTTTGAAATATTTTCCATGCGAATTATTGATTTTCCCTAATAACGCAGTTGTAATAAATTACATCATCATGATAAAACGCAGTATTACGTTGTGTAATGAGCTTATGCATTACGAATTACGATAAGAATGATTTTCTGAAGATAGAGCGCTTCGATTTCCCCAAGTCGAGTAGATGTAAACATTGATTCCATGTTTTAAGTACAAATATTTGAAAATATTTATTTATACAAATTTATATTCATAACACACCACAAATACACATATTTCTTTGATGTTGTGGATAAAGTATAGTATTCTACACAGAGATAATATCGATTTTATAATGTGTATGATCTGCATTAAGGTTTATTTGTTGCGGATTGTCCCATTTGAGGCTTAAACAAATTTTAATCTCAATAGACGACCGGAGAGCAAACAAAGCGAGCCCCGAACGTAATTTATGAAACGCGAAATAATGAAATAATGAAGCACAAAGTGTATGGTAACGCATAGTTGCTAGAAACTAGACTGTATAGACTTGTGTTTCGGGATTATAATTTCCACTTGCGAGACTCGGCTGGCTTTGTAAAGCGATTATTGTTTTAAACTCTTGATTCACGACTGCGTGCGCTTGGATTATAGGTTATTATAGGTTAGAGTTCAGTGCTGGGGGTTTTGCGGGGTGTTTGATTGCGACGAATAATTAATTTTCGACAACGAGACAACCATGACAAGATTGAAATATGACAACAAAGCACGTGTTTCGAACTTGATTATGTGCGCTGTCAGTGATGATTAACTATTAACGTTCACTTATTTATAGTATTTTCATTTATAACTCGTCTGTCTGATAGTTTTACCCTGTTTGTTTAGCGATTCAGTAAGTTTTAAATATTTACACTGATTTTATTCGTTTTGACAGCTGTCAGCTATCAAAGAAAAGTTAGGCAACTTTTTTATCTTGCGTCTAAGTATGGTTACAGATGTTACAAGTTATAGAAAACTATTTAATTGCAATTATTTTTCTTTTGCGTTTTTTTCTGTGATTTTTTTTGTTTCAAGTTGTTGGTTAGGTGTTTTAATTCATTAATTTGGTTTCAGCTTCCGCAGAATGTGCGCAAGTTTTAATTGCAAATTGTAATCGTATACACTTTAGACTCTACGAGCTCTACAAGTACGCTGAATGTGAAATGAATCTACCGAAAAGAAAGCAATACTTTTGCGCGCGAGGAAATTAAAATAAACTTTTCTCATTACTCACGCTGTGTCAGTTGGGTTGTCTACCTTTTTCTCTGCTCGGGTCCCAAAAAATAAAATAAATTACTTTTATCTTCAACATTCATAGAAAATATCCTCTGACTAGTCATATTCTTGGTCCTTAAATTATAAAAAAATTAAAAATAAATTAAAATCCATGCTCATCATCATTGGGGACATTATGTTCACAACCATTAAGCCCATGATGATGCCCATTCGAGTGTCCATCAGGACTCCAATCGCCATTATGCCCATTAGTAGCATTCCCAACCCCTAGCGACGTTTGAGTAGTAAATGCACTACTAAACTCTTTCTGATTTCCTCTGGTATCTCTACTATCCCTATCTCTTCCGGGATAATACACACATGGACCCGGACTAGGTGCACGAATCCGCCTCCCGGAAGTATCCCTTACACTTGTCCCATTCACCCTCACCACACAAACCCCGTTCCGACTCATCGTTGTATTCTGCCGGTGTAACCTGATACTGGTCCGGTCGCCATTCGACATGAAACTGTCATCATGCGTAGCGCCATCTGGCGAGTCCCTTCCCGAAATACCAAACAATCCATGGCTGCAGAACAGCATCAGGAACAACCGCTTGAACTTCTCACCAAAAATCACATAGATTATAAAATTGATACTGGAATTGATCGTGACCAACAAATTACTGGTCTTGATCATTCTATCCAGCAGATCCGCATCGATTCTAATCTGAAACGATTCGATTATGTTGATTACAAGCGGGAGGACATTACACGCGAAAAACACGAGGACCACACACATTAACATCGTCGCGAGCCCGATTTCACGCCGCTGTAGTCTCGAGAGTCTCGCACGCTCTTTGTTCGCCTTCCGGACCTGATTATAAATAGCAATGTTGAGCACCGCCAGGCTGAAGAACGGGATCAAGTAGATAAAAATCAAATAACACCAATGAATGTACACGGCGAGATAAGTTTCGTTGATCCGGAGAGGTGTAGGTCGCGCACAATATATCGTCGTGTTGAACTCCTTGTCCCATTCAGCTATAATGGTTGCCTCCCATAATCTGGGCACGTTGTACAACACGGAAAACACTGTGATACAAACGACGTAGATTCTAGCCCTTCCGTAAGTACAAATGACCTTGACTTCAACGGATGACACACTGCTACGAATCGATCCAGGGAGACCATCAGGGTCAAGTACACGGAAGCTGTTTGAACAGCTGTTGCTAGTGGGTACACCACCGGAACTATATGTGGATACACATTGTAAAAGTACGTAAACATTAGACTGGTATAAGGGTAGATCCCTGGGATACCAAACAAGAGGATACTGGTGATGATCAACACAGTGTCCACTCTTGCTAGACCTATCAGGATGTAGTTTATACTCGACCTCATCTGAGGTCTGGATAGGATGATCATCGAGATGACATTCCCGAGGATTCCTAGTATCCCAATCAGGTTCAACAGGATACCATTGGTTATAAACCGGTAAAGTTCTGTGGTTTGGGTTTCGGAGTCTCTGCAGATACTGCTGTTGCGTTCGTAGGTGTCGAATACGTTGTCCCCGATGGAGAAATCATCGGTGAGGAACACCGATGTTGTATTGTTGAAGAGATCCATTTTGTTTTTAAAGTTTTGTTTAGTTGTAGACGTAGAATATTTTACGTTTGGTCTTTGTATAGGTAAAGACCTGATGAAGGGAAGCCATTGTAAATGTTTATGTTGTGTCTGCGGCTGATCGGTTGTGGAGAGGGTTGAGTGATGAATGACACCGGAGTTGAGGGTGGCGCTGGCATTTTGTCACTTTTTTTGAAAGTGTGACCGGAGTCCACGGGGCTCTTCATTAGCATTCCATCTGCAACAGAAAAACAAAATTGTGTTAAGCTGGGGGGGTCTCACGTAAAATATTGCTACTCGATGGTGACAAGTGACATGAAAAATTTCTTTTTGCAAAAAAAATTAAAATTAGGAGGTGAAATACCGGTTTTGATATCGGTATACCGGTATTTTTGGTTTTCAAATACCGGTATTTTTCAATACATATGTTTTTGATATATACCGGTGTACCAATATTTTGATTTAAAAAATACCGGTAATACCGAAAAAAATACCGGTATTACCTATAAATACCGGTATTATACTAAAAATTCACAAAATCAATCCCAATTTTATTTTTTTATATAATTATTAAAAAATATTTTTATTGTTTGTTTCGGTCGTGAAGATTTTCCCCAAAACTTTTTTAACTTTCCTTCAACTTGATTTAACTTTCCCCAAAACTTTTTATCCCTTCAATAGCCTATCAAAAGTATATAACAAGTAGCGCAGCGTGTTCGACGTTTCAATCCAAATCGAATGTAAATATTTGTTGTTTGTAAGCACACTTTACTTTCCTCCGAAAAAAGTAAAACCGAAAAATGTTTTCATATATTTCTTTCTACAAAAATATTGTCTCCCCCACTGTTATCATCTAATTTGCTTGATTACAAACTGCTGGGTGTTTTACATAGCTTTTCGTTTTGCGTCACAGTTTACGCTTTAATTAACTCTTTATCATTTTCAGCTGGCACCTAATTCCAACACCAGACACAATGTACTCATAAAAACGTCAAAATGTTTTATGATATTCAGCGTTTAATCTTTTAATGTTCCACACAGGCATAATTTTAAAAATCAATAAATTTGATTATGAATGTGAACACTCTGTATATTCTGGATATGTTTAACAATGAGACAATAAGTGTTCTGTTGTCGGTTGGATGAATAATGTCCGAAAATGTGTTTCAGCATTCGGAATTCAGTATTTCATCCGACGACATCGTAAATCATATCAGTCTACCTTCTTCATCTCCATTTTCGCTGTGTAATTCTTCCTGCGTTGGACGAGGTTAGCTTTATCATTTGACTAGTGTTTGGAATTCGCTGTCATTTCTCACATTTCCACACACATTCCACGCTGGGAAATGGTAACAATTCACAAACTAAAATTACCTCAACTTAATTCTCTAAAACTTTTCAGTAAAATAATTTTTTCTTAAAACTTGTTGAGTGTTAAACCCGCAACAAGTTAAACTAAATTAACCGATAAGTAAACTCGCTAAGTAAAGCTAAAGTAAAAGTTAACTATAATTTAGTGCAAGTTCTAGAGTTGTGGTTATGTGGTCAGTTTCCATCCGCATAATAAATGCGAAGCAGTTGATTTCCGGCACTGGAGTTCACTGAAGCACTCCCAGGACAATACAAAGTCCACAAGGCGTGCGGATCGTTCAGAAATCGAATTTAAACTGGCGTATTGCATGTCAAACAACACAAGTGCACTTTGTTATTCTCATCTGTGTGCACTCGCATCTAATATGTTCCTTAACTTGGATTTATCTTGTCAGTCTCTTTAAAGTTTAAACACTTATCTTTTAAAACGTCAAGAAATTTGGATTTTCAAGTATAAAAGTTGGAAGTGACAAAAAGTGAAAGAAAAGGAAGTAGATGGCGCTGGTTGATTACTTGTCATTCAGTTAGTGTCATTTTGTGTCAACTGTGTGGATTATATTATATGCAACCCACAAAACACAATACATACACTAAAAGGCAAAAAATCTCAAATTAAAAACATAAATAATTATATAACATGTTGTAAAATGGAATTAAACAATTATAAAAGTGATTAAGTCATTAATTTTATAGCTCTGAGAATATTTCAAGATAATTTCCATGACGTGAGACATAATTTATATGATCATATCAAATTTCGTGTACTTATAAGATGAATATTACTTGTTAATATGCAAATTTCAATTCGAAACAAATGTAGCGTAGTAACACGTAACAGGAATTAACACCGACAAGAATAGAATTAACCTCCGATGGAATTTGTAGCGTTTCGAGTACGTTTTGTACGCAGCCCTACACCGCAACACCGTCGTCTTAGCTCTCACAGTTGAGAGACAGACTTTGGGGTGGAAATGAGAATTTCCCCGACTTACGTATTGCGCGGTTCATTGGGGGAGAAGCGGTCGAATGCTAAAAGCGGTAATGGCTGCTTGTTAAATAATACGGGATTGCGTGTGCTGCGTGTTGATCGCGTGAAAATGCGTGACTTTACGTGCTTTGTATTTTCCTACAAATTTTGTTATTTATGTTTTGTTATTGGTTAAATTTAAGCTTTAAACGTAAAAATTTTATATAGAAATTTGCATTAAAGAGTTGTGTAGCATAATTTAATTATGAAATACTTAAGCGGGCAAGAATATTCTATTATATTGCATTTTGTATGTGTATATAGATCGTTTGCTTGAAATTTTACTCTGGCCTTTTAAGAGCCTTTATTGCTTAATTTTGCCGCGGCAATAACGGAACTATTTCGATACGACGTGTATCCTTGGTTGCAGAAAAGGAGCAGGGTGGAAAATGCAATTTTCTACGTTTTCCACACTACCTAACCGAGTTGATAATAACAACACAATAAAACTATAACTGAAATTAAAAAGTTTATATAAATTTTATAAAAATTAACTTTCGCCACAAAAGTTTAAGGTTTTAATATAAACTTAACTACGACTCATAATAACCTAAAAATAAATTAAAGTATATAAAGTATCAAGGGGCTAAACAAGAGTTTTATTCACGAGATTGATTAAAAGTGAGCGTAGCAAGCGTTTAAACAATCGGATGTTTAACGACGATTAATATACTATTAAATAATTAATACTGAAACAAATAATTATAAAAATATATAACTGATGATAATAATTTTTAACTTGTCTGTTAACTTTTCATCCGTAGACAATTATTGTCTTTTTTAGCTTGCAGAAAAAAAAAGGTGCTGAAATGAAAAAAAACATCGACGTGCTTTTATTTATACCCCGAGTCCTTTTCGTCCTTCACGCTTATTTCGTTCTGCAGAGTCATGATAGACTATTCTTTGCTTTCCGGTTATTCTCGTTGCCCAACCGGCGCCCACGCCCACGCCACGCACTAATGTTTAATGATAGCTGGCCGAGAGTCGTAAATACACCGATTCACAACAGATTGCTCCTTCTGGTGCGACTCTTTCTCAGGACTATTTATTATATAATTACAAGTACGTTCTAGTTATTTTTACATTTCTGAAAATATTTTGTTATCTTTCTTTACACGAAGTAATTAATTAATTAAAGAATTTCTCTGGAATTTTTAATTTAAATTTATTTTGTGTCAAAGCAGAAGATATTTGATAATTGTGCTCAAACGCTTCTCATTTTACAAATTTGACATTTAAGGTATTTGATGAGTAAAGTGTTAAGTATTCTAATATATAGGTATAACAGGCGAAAAGTTAAAATGGAAATTTTGGGATTAAGTTAAGTGTTAAAGTGTTAAACCTTTGATTCACATTCGTACAGGTTTCACAAGTTTATCTCTTTGGTGCACAATTGTACGGATTGATATAAACTACTCTTGACTTTAGCAAAAGTTTCATTACCAGAGAATGTAAATGAGAACAGAATCAAGAGATAAAGTTTTAGGTAGTAATTTGACAAGAAATTAACTTGTAAACAATTTTATAAATTTTAAACTTTTATTTAATTTTTCTACTTCCACCTTTAAAGCGTCAGTTTTTTCACGGTTTTGAGACACTAAGTGCTTTAGTCACGAGTTTTAGTCACGGGGTGGAGCTTGCGTCTGCGCATTTGCCTACAGTCCAACACAACAGCATAGAAATTTCATGCGTCGAAAGTCAAACACTTAATACTTAATATCCTATTATTCCATTTTTTATATTTTTTTGTTTTGATACTAATCATTTAAATATTTTTTTTTGTTTTCAACATTTGTAAAATTAATGAATGCGTTTCTATATTTTGTTCTGTTTGGTTTGTTTGAATAATATGTATTACTTTTCGCGTCGTTATTTTCTCCTCGATGAAAAATAATGAATCTCCTTGGAGAGATGCTGATGAAGCCTGATGCGAGCGCAGTATTAATCAAGCGCAACGACATAAATAATTACTTTTTATTTATGGATTCTCTGCGCAGGACTAAAATTTTAATCATTAAAATAATATTATTTCAAGGTAAAAAATATTTTAAATTACAATAAAAATGATTTCATAAGAAAAAGAAATAATAAGGTAATCAAAGCTATAGAAATAAGAACGAAAAAAGTTAACAAAGTCAGAAAAAAAAAGTTTAGAAAATGAAAAGAAAAAGAAGACAAGTAGACGTAAATTGAGTGTTATAAAAGGAATAAATTACTGTTGGAAATATTAAACTTGTATATGAAATATAAGAATAATAATCAACATTATTATTCCCATTTAACTAAAAATGATTTTGACTTTGATTTTATTCAAGGTTAGTTTTGATAAAATCACACACAGTTATTGTGCTTTTAGAGGTTTTTGAGGTTACATTGTGTAGATTATAGTTTATAGTTAACGCGCTGCACACGTGTGGCGCTAGTAGTGACACGATTGTTCTCGTACTACGATTGTACAAAATGGTAAACGGAATAATTACGCAACTACGAGAACACACGTTGCAATTAGAATTGGATGGATGTTGCGTTAGTTGTTATCCGCAAAATCGTATTCTCCGAATGCCCTAAATATACCTGTTTGTACCTGAGTAATTACTCGGGACACATCGCACATTCTCACGATGTCATTTACACGCTAAACTAATTCTACTCACATAATCAAAGTACTACACAATTAGAGCTTAAAAATAAACGAAATAAATACAAACACTAAATATTTAATGTATCACCCTGTATAATCTAACGTAGGCAACCCAGTAAACAAACACACATGCGCAATTATCTGCGTAGACACAATCTGTAATCAATTCCAATTCCTTGGGTAAACATATTCGGACAAACAAGTAACCTAACCTCAAATGTGTAATATTTCATAACCTCAACTTTACACTAATGTATTTTTACATTTTAGAGTGCGGAACATTTGTATTGTTGCATGTTTCAACGTAAATCCAAGCTTAATCTGACCGATGTTATCAATGTCGGTAGTAAAGTCGTTATTGTTCATTTGTTTCGATTTAGTGCCCTCGATATAGCCGATATTCGCCGATAGAACGTATTGTTTCGCGTCTATTGTACAAATCTAAACTCTAAACTGTCAAGTGGACAAGTGGACCATACACACAAGTAGGTATAGAATTCAATTGATTTCCTATACCAGTACATCTATAGACCTAAAGGACCATTAGAAGCGTATTGTATTGTATTGTATATTGAAATTAATTTAATTACAACACAATCACCGAAAACAAGAACAAAAGCCCCACAAAAACGAAATTACAATTGTAAGGTGTGAGTTAACACGCAGGAAGAAATAAATTCAACATTATACGATTTGACCTAACTCTTAAAAAGCTTAAACCCTTAAACCTTGTCCTCTAAGTCCAGTATCATGTCTAGCACCACCTCGAGATCCATAAAATGACTATTATATTGTATGACATCTATCTTTGTATCGCAATGTGTATTCTACGTTCATATCGTCGCGTAGGCAGTTGGGTCGGCTGTAAAATATGTAATAAAATAAACGTAAAGCCAGCCGGGGATAAAATAAAAAGCAGGACAAACACGACAAGACAGCACAAAGTGTGTGATATAAGAAATGGACGCGGCCGAGGCGAGATTATCTCGGCGACGATGCCGAGGAAAAGTAAATTAGAGTGGAAACAAATTAAGCTTTAAGGATTTACAGCCGCACAAAAAGGGGACACAGTGTAATGAAAAAACAGAAGGAAAAAAGCAAAAAAAAAAACAGAAAATTTCGTAAGATTTAATTGATGGTTACGACCGTGAATATCTCGTTAGGATTTATAACCAGAAAGTAATCAAACTTTGATATAAAGAATATTTTCTCTAAAAAGAATTAGATCATCAACATAACCTTAAAAATATTTGTTTGATAAATTTTTGTTTATTTTTTGTTTTTTTTTTATTTTATTTCATTTTATTTGACTTAAAATGTATCCAGATTAAACAGAAATAATTATACACGTTATGAATACGTATGAATATGTATGCAACCAAGATGTCACGATGTTTATTCCTCTGTTCATCCCTAGCTGGAATTATTTCCAGCCTAGGGTCGTCGTCGTTTGCCAAAACTGGTAAACAACGATTTATTATAAATTGCCGGCACGTGTCATGCCATCCTACATCTTCACAACGTTATTACACTAAATAATAAACAGCAAAACATAATAATTATGAAAATATATGCAACCATACATACACGAAATCTAAAATCTAAAAATAACCTACTCGTATATTATAAATAGGTTTTATACACTGTATGTTTCTTGCCAGCGACTTTTTAGGTCACCTAACACTAATAATTTCCGGTTTTCCGCTAGTTTGCCAGATTTAAACTAAACCCACGCTTCTACCCGCCGAAATTATACACATTTGACCGATTTACATAACTAAACGATAATGATGATTACGCAAATTATTCAAAACGTCAAATTTCGTAATTTATTAGTTTTTATTTTTATTTTCATTGTTCTACGAATAGCTTGAAATGTATTTTTATTTTCGGCGTTTAATATATCGTTTCATTTCCGGCTGTCACCGAGACCATTCGGGAACTCTTGTTAAATTTACATTTTCGTTTTCCGCCGTTTCTTCATTTCGCGTCTTGACTTGACTTGTGTTGACTAAACACACTTAGCGTATAAGACAATAAGACAAACATAAAAAACGTAATGTGTAAGGAGTAAAGACTAAACAACTAAAGGAAGACGATTATGCGTTTAGTATTCATGCGATGCGCAACGCAGGTTGCATATAAAGCGGATAATTTCGTCGAGTTTATTGCGTTTTTAGAATTTTCAGTGTTATTATCGTCCAAGGCGAACGCCGCCCGACGCCGGGCCGGAAGTTTAAGTTTTCCGGTCTTCTCAAGGAGCAATTTCTGCTCTCTGCTTGCCTTGTGTAAAGAAATTGATGAGTTTATAGCTCAATGAACCTTAAAATCAAATCAAATCAAACGTTAACTCATCACAAAGACTTTTCTTTATTTTTTACATTCTATGCTTATATATGTGGCCACTAGATGGCGCCATTTACTAATGTGTATATTTTCTGCTCGTTGGCGCTTTAATAACCAATAAAAATGTTTTATGTCGCGCGGATTTGCAAAATGATTGAAGTGCATGCAATGGATTGATATGATCGATGAAAATATTCAAGCATTCGCATCAAAATCGAGTGTTTATTGCGTCGACACAGAGTTTATTTCCATCGTCATCATCATCAGCGCGCGAGATCGTTATAACACGATATAATACCGGTTTTTACGCGGCCTGTCGGCAATGATGGGATATAAATGGAATTGGCAAGCGATGAAAAGCCATCAAGTCACATTAAGTCACTCTGTGAAACAACAATATTTCTAAAAGTGTTATTTTTAATCGTTATATAGTGATTTCTTAATTGTTTCCTGTTTTCCGGTTTGAAAAAATTAAATTTTTATGATTTTTTTTTGATTTCAAACAAAAATAATTCAAATATTTACATTTAAAGTATTTTAAAGTGTTTATTGTTATTTTTCCGGTTTTCCGGTCTCACAAAAAAATAATTTTCAAAGATATTTTATAAATTTAAAGCATAATAATTAATTTTTTATATATTTTATATTTTCCGGTTTTCCGGTTTTGTGAAAAACTAAAATATTGACATTTTTATCTTCAAATAGTGCTGTAATTGATGTTGTTTGTAAATTCCGCGGGTTTTGATTGAAAATAGCTTTCGGCATTGTTTCCATTGGCACCTTTCATCAAAATTAAACATGCACCTGACAGGCTACCTCGATAACGACCCTTGTAACAACTATTGAGTGAAATAATTCACTCGCATGAATAATTATTTAATTAATTAACAAGTGTAACAAATGTTTGCATTCAACCAGAAATAATTCATTAGATTCTTCGAAAACATTCAATTAATCCATGATTTTGATTTTATACGCTTGATTAGATCCGTAAGCACTGAAATAAAATATAGATAGTGCCGCGGCAACAAATATCAATTATTATCAAACTCTCGATATTAAATTATTTCGCACGGAACGTGTTAGCGGTTAATTGAAATCGAAATTCTGCTCCCGGGCGGTGTCCAATTATCGCGCGTCGAGTTTTAATAAAATTCTGCGCGTAATATTTTCGAAATATCGAAATTTCTACGTGGACCATTGTTAATTTCGTTAAATATTTGGATTCTAAAAGTATTATTAATTTCTATTTGTTGTACAAACACTTATACAATATTTTTTAAATAAACAAAGGAATTTGAATAAATTTTAGGCGTGTGGCCTTCGTCAGAGATATAGAACAATGAATTTAAATGTTCAAGGTGATTTTCTCATGTAACGAGATATTTAAAGCAATTGATTATCTCACAATTATAATTTGACTCTGGAATTGAGGTCAGTATGTGAGGAGAAGTATTAGTTGTCAGAGGTTAATTTATTTTTCGTTTTTGTGGGTAAACATTGTGTTTTTTTGTTTAAAAATTAGTGAAAAAACAAATTATGTGGAAATTTAAGGTAAGTTTTAGTTTACAATTATAATTATGATTCGGAATAGTAAAAAATAAAGTGGGTTAAATAATATTGTGGTTATTTTGTGTGAAAAATATGGTATAAAGTGTTTTGTCTCTAGTGTAGTAGACAAGTAAGACGCGAAATGTCCGGTAGTTATAAATCTGTCGGATTTACGACTTGTCTCTTGTCTCCTGCCTCTTCTGCCCAAAACACAAGACTATATAGTATAGCATATATAGTTGTAACCAGCGCATGGAGCTTGCAACTATATTATACCACATAGGATAAGTATCCGTGTGGGTGTTCGAATCTAGGGCATTTTTCTTGCCACCGCAGGAGGTCACATGACTAAGCTATGCATTTGTCTACACGACTACTAAAATATACACTGTGCTCACAGTAATGTAAAATACCGGTATCAATATCGGTATACCGATATATTTTATTTCAAATATAAAGATTTTTCAATATAAAATTACTTCCGATATATACCTGTATACCACAATTTTAATTTAAAAAATACCGGTTAACCGAAATACCGAAATACCGGTATTGCACTTAAAATTTACATTTTTAATAAAATTAGCTATATACACTCAGTATATTTTCATTTTTGGCATAGGAAACACCTAAAACTAAAAATAGTTTGAAACATTGGCTTTAAAAGAAAGAAACAATATAAAAAAACATTTTATCTACGTTGAATTGTTTGTTTGTTAACTGAAAACAAAAGAAACCCTTAAATATATTGATTCCTTGTCTGAAAATAGCACAATTTACTCTCCATATTGTTTCATTTTACGTTTAAAGAAGAAAAACATGGTTATATTGCTATATTGGTTGCCTACCACTCTCGTAATAAGAAAATTCCATGATAAAGCACAATTTCTATAATTATTACTCAATAATCATCAAAAACAACACAAACAATAACCAATACATCATCATTACACGGCATAATCTTATCTTTCTTATCAATACTTTATAAAACCGCAATTTATGTAATACTAAACTTAGTTTTTGTTTATTAGTTCAACATGCCACCATTAAAAGGGTTTCTACTAAGTTTTCTACTCTCCTTACTACTACTACAAAATGTGGAAAGTGCAAGAATCCTCGCCATCATCCCCATAGCCTCCTACTCCCACCAAATGTTCTACCAACAAATATGGCGTGAATTAGCCCTTCGCGGGCATGACATGGTCGTGGTAACAACCGATCCCACCGGTGAACAACTCCCAAACTTCAAAGAAATCAACGTGAGCGAAACATACATCCCCACGAAGGAAATGATCAACGCCTCCATAAAAGAATCAATGTTCAAGCTATTCCTCACCAATCGCATGATGGACCTTGATGAATAACATTGCATTATTCCAAATGAATTTACCACAGATGCAAGAATTGATTCATAATAAATCAGAACATTTTGATTTGATTCTGGCTGAAGCATTTCCCAGTATGCATATGGCTTTCAAACATAAGTATAACTGTCCGTTGATTTCTGTTATGTCTATTGACGCATTCTCAGCGTCGCATCAAATCATGGGCAACCCAACACACACGGTGATGTATCCTATTTCGATACTACCGTTTCAAGAGAATATGAATTTATTTGAGAGGACTGCTGTGTTCTTATTTGAAGTGGTTATGCAACTATCACAAACAAGAAATATGGAGAAATTGAATGAATTGACTAGAGAGGTATTTGGTGAAGATGTTCCGGATGTTTTCGAATTGATGAAAGAATCAGACATGTTATTTGTCAATGCGAATCCATTGTTTTCAGCGACGAGACCTCACACTCCAAGTACTATTAATCTAGCTGGAGGGGTTCATATGAAGAAACCTAAACCTTTACCAAAGGTAATTTTAAGGTTATGTTATAATTTTGAGGTTATGATGTTTTTAAATGATTTTATTTGTTTTTAGGATTTGAAAGACTTCCTAGACTCTGGTAAAGATGGTGTTATCTACTTTAGTTTAGGTAGTAATGTAAAAAGTAAAGAATTGTCTTTAGAATTACGTGAAACCCTTTTAAAAACCCTTTCTGAGCTTCCTTATAAAATTTTATGGAAGTTTGAAGATGATACTCTGCCAGGAAAACCAAAAAATGTCAAAATTACAAAATGGGCACCACAACAAGATGTTTTAAGTAAATATAACCTCAAATTTACAACTTCACATAACCTAACCTATAAATTAACTTTTAGGACATCCAAATGTCAAACTTTTCATTACTCAAGGAGGAATTCAATCCTTGGAAGAAGCTTTGTACTCCCATGTACCAATGGTAGTCTTACCCTTCATGGGTGATCAAGAAGCTAATGCTGCAAGAGTGAAATCTAAACAAATTGGGGTTATGTTGAATCCACATAAATTAACAGTTGAAGATTTTAAGGCAGCCATCTTGGAAGTCATGGAAAACAAAATTTACAGGGATAATGTCAAACGACTTGCTGATCAAATCCAAGACCAACCTATGACGCCTTTGGAGAGAGCCATCTGGTGGACGGAATATGTACTTAGACACAAAGGAGCTCAACATTTAAAAGGCCCAACTATTCCATTATACCAATATTATTATTTTGACGTTTTTGTTTTCCTAGGAGTAATTTTACTTTTACTGCTAGCAGTTTTTGTTGGTATAATTAAATTGCTCTTAAAAGGACTTAGAAAATTAACCGGATGTGATAAATCTAAAAAACTAAAGAAATCCTAATTTAAATAATTTGTAAAATAAACTTTTTACTTGTAAAATTTCACTCTCCATCAAATTCTCATCTTCGTGCTGCGCTTGAGATAAAAATTTATTAACCCCCCGAGGAGTACGCGATGACCGCTTGTACAGTGGGCGGTAGAGGAGGAGTGATAGCAGCGCCACCTTTTTCGTTCACAGCTAGTTGGTTTCACACGTTTCACACGTGCCCTTCGACCCTGAACCCTTGCTGTGTGCTTTCCGGATAGTTTATTACCGTCCAGCCGTGAAAAGCGTGGACGCCGCGGGACGAAACTGGATATCGACACATTCCTACGGGGGCGAGCTTGATCCTCAACGCGCGGCGATAAACCGGAAAGAGGAAAACTATATAAGTGTGAAAAAACATTGTGTCAGTCACGGCTCACAACACAACGTCGAGAGAGAGAAAAAGAGGAGAGATTGAACGTCATCCGGAAAGAATGTCGAATGTTATAAAAACATTATATACAGGGTGTTCAAAACCGGAAAACAGACAAAAATGTTTTAAAATGTGTAATCTATGGTTCTGAATTGATTTTGTAAAACCGGAAAACCGGAAATGTTCCTTCCTAAATTCAACCATATCAGATTTCTGACCATAAGAACGCGTTGAGACACAGTGTGTGTTAAAATTCTCTAAAACTTTATATACAGGGTGTTAAAAACCGGAAAACACGCAAAAAGTTAAAAACTATAATTTACGTTTAAACAGATATTTTCTTCTAATTCTGGAAAACCGGAAATTTTCGTCTTACTAATTCAGTCTAAAATAAGACTCCTGATAATACCATTAGATGTTGACGACTCGACGAAAACCCAGCGAATAACCACAGAGAGACGCTGATTAGACGCTGCGTGCCAAGCCACGCAACAAGACCCTGCTTATTTTCCGGCGTGCAGCCAACAAGGACAAGGACACCACGTAGCAACTCCCCGGCGGAGGAGGCGAACAAAACGCACAGCGCAAGAAGTGACTATGACACCGATCTTAGCGTATTGGAGTGAGATGACGAAAAGTGGATTGAGGGACGGCGGCAAGACGACGAAAGCCTTTTAATCAGCGCATACATCTAATTCACTAATTACTCCAAGACCAGACGGGTCTATACATTGGATCTACCCAGGCGTACAACGATTCTAACCTCAAAATAAAAAAACAAAAACATAAACGTTTAGTTTTCTTGAGTTTTTAGCGTGAAAATTTGGTGTTTTAATCAAAGTATGCATTAATTAAGCTTTGCAAATACATGTAAACTAAACTAAACGCGGTTTCCGGTTGGTTTCCCAACTATTCAATTGTGGGGAATACTCCTGAAGGACATGGAATTCTGCAAGGGACGTGCGTTCCAGTTAACGCGTTTGGTTATGTTGGGTTTCGGTTTGCTGCTGTGTGCTTCAGACAAGCATTCACTCCGGTTTCCAAAGACAATGACCGTGTCGCAGGATTGCCGACGAGGACTCTTTGAATAGTTCTCGTAAACCAACTATTAAATAACAAAATATTGAAATAATCAAAATATTTAAATAAAATATTTCGTTTCGATTGTGTATAAAGGGTTGCATATAGTAAATTATAAAAATATGTTAACACAACCTGTAAAATAGATACGTTAATTTTACTTGTGAAATTTAACACCAGAGGGCGTTGGTGTAACACATATTGGTACATATTTTACTTTTTATGAGTATGAAAGGTTGCATATAGTAAATTTTTACTAACCCAAGTTGTAAAATTAAATTTTATGTTGCCTTGTGCTACTTGCCACCAGAGGGCGCTAGTTTATTATTGGCAAAGACAAATCATGTTATGCAAACATTCCTGCTGTATGTACGTATGCATAATCAATTAATATATTATTATCGGACATTGCATCTCTGATACTGTTGACATATTGTGAAATTACCATATATTACCCTAAACATTCCAATTTATATCACGTATTCCCCGTATTCTAACCTCGAAATATACTGTATGTTTATTATTTTAATAAAATTTTCATTTCACTTAAAACACATTTTATAAATTTAGTCATGTCTGCCACGCTTCGAGCGTTTACGTCACGAGTCTTATCGGCGCAGTATTCGCGATTTCGTCCGCACGACAAAACACGAACTCCCACGCAAAGCTCCATCTCGTCCTTGATGACCTTGGCGCGCTCACAGCAACGTCGCTCCGGGCCACTCCTCAGAAAAAAAACTTTGGTGATAAAGTATTCTACTTGGAAAGTTTCTCAAAGTCATTGTATCTATTGTACACGATGTAAACGATAAAACTTTTCGACATCTGACAGCTTCAAAGAGAGCGTTTTTAATTTTTAACTTGTGTAATAACCGCTTTTACGCAGCAACAGCAGTAGCAGGACCAAGAGGATAATTTGTAGACCGGAACTAGTTAAAAGTATGCGCAACAATATGTGCCGTTTTCTGGTTTTCCGGTTCGAGCAACTTGAGTCACGACGAAAATGTTTGCAACCAGCGAACAGATTGCACATCCATGCGGCGCCGCGCGCGGAAGTATAATTCTCGACATTGCAGTAAACTTCCGGTTTGTTAAACTTTAGCCGGGATGCATAAACTAGATAACAGCGCCTACAGACTCAGCGCGTAGTAAAAAGATAACGCCGGGTTTAAATCTACGCGAATTTGATTAAATCTTTTTAACAAACCGGAAGTGGAATTAAAATAATTATACTAAAACTGCAAGAGATGCAAAATTTTATCATAATTAGACGAATACAATGCAAAGAAAAATTTAATTTTTTTTACAATTTTACAAACCGGAAGTGAACTTTATAGCTACTATTGTAACAGTTAAAAGTAATCAAGTTTCCAGGACTTCTCCGCAACAAATCCTTTCTTAGAATAGGATTGTAATAACCTTTAAGATAAATATACAGTGTGTTTCATTTAGATGTGACTTTGGACACATTGTATATATTCTAAAAAGAGTGAATTTTTAGCCTTTCTTAGTGCGTGCCGTAACACTGGCAGGCGCAGATTTATGCAGGTGTTATCCCTCCGCCGGGGGATGGAAAAAGCGCGCGCGGAACAAGCCGGAAATCACAACGGTCTTTCGTAGCCGTCTATTTTTAGCGCGAGCACATTCGTTTCCAATTACGTTTCGGATTACGTGCGGGTTTCTCTCAAGTCGAATTTCTTTTAATATCAATATCGGCGCACAGGACACGTTCCATATAGATTTATTGTTGTCTATTGTTTTCCGTTTCGTAATATCAACCGGAAGTCGTTAATTACTACGACAATAACACCAAGATTAATATTAACACCATTAAATCATTGAGAAATATTTGAAACTGCAATAATTCAAAAACCGGAAAACCGGAAAACCGGATATGAAATATTATTTATATGTAAATGTGAAAATATAAATGTTTGAGCAGATTTCACGATCTGTTTCGAAATTTTGTGCGTTTGGTGTTTATGCTCGGGGTGTTCGAAGAGGGATGAAATTAGATTTCCCAATCGTGTCGTTGGCGTCGTCCGCGATTCGAGGAAGCATTCCAATCTAGACGTTCGTTAATGTTTGCTCATTTACTGCGCTGGCTATTGAGCGAAAGCGGAAAACAAACCCATGCGCTAACCAACACCAATAAAAACGTTATAATCTAGATATGTTGTGAGTTTTATTAGTTTTGCTGACCAGGACAACAACTGACAAGAATCCGGAAACCGGAAAACCGGAAGTTAAAAAATAAAAACCGGTAAACTACTAATTAATCAATTTTATAAGCAATTTTTCGCATTTTTATAATTTTTTATTTGTTAAATTATATTTATTGTAAAAAATTTAATAAATGCTATAAACACACTGTATATATCCCATAATACACTCGTTGTATCCCATGTATTGTCATTTCTTTGTTTGCCTAATTTTATTTCCGCGTATCACATCTTTGCCTACTTGAATATCCGCTTTCCGGAAGTACATACAGATACATATCTCAATCTTGAATCTCGAGATTCACTTTCGGAATGCGGCTCAGGCGGGTCACATTGTCATACAAAGCACACGCCGGAGCAAACACATACAGATGGCGCTCCATACACACATACATATACAGATATAGAATAATCTACGAGAATTGAACAGCGCGTTGAATTTGTCGAATAAAGTGGATTGCTGTCACCGCCAGCGGAGGCGAACAATGGCGTCGATAACGAACAAAATCTGACAAATCAAATACGCTAGGCTTATTTGATCAAAGTGTCAAGTATGGAAATTTAATCATGTGAAAGAATAAAAGTTTAGTTATGGAAAATTCATAGTGTGAACATATGCACATAGATGGCGCAAGTTAAAAGTTTTTTTGTGTGAGAGGAGTGTAAATGGTTTTTCTTTGTGTTATTCTTTGTTCTTTTGATTTTTTTGTGGTCTTTTCATATTTCTACGCCCGTATTACGAAAACCTTTTGTTCTCCATATTATATTTCTGTTATTTCGACCATTGTGAGACGGCTTTCACTTTCGGTTTGCTTTCTTCCGAACAATCATCCGATGCACCCGGCGCGAGTCGACCGGTCATCGAAATAAATTATTTCGGGAAGATGGACGACCCGCCAACATCTGCCTGCGTTAAATCACCAGCGGCCATTTTATATTCCTCAAAAAAACCGTAAAAAACTAAAAAAATCAAATTTTCTTTCTGTTTTCTACAAAAAATATATACAATGTGTTTGTATAATATTTAAATTATCCAGGACCGTATTAATTTTATTTTAAGTGTACAGGACCGGATTTAAAGTAAAAATTTTCCCCAAAAACTAAAAATTTATACTTTATGATGTAATCCTCCCTAAACTTTTTCTATATCCATAAAAAATAGTTACCCAACCTACATTTCCTAACTTTCACCGTTTTTTTTACTGATAATATTTCGGTTTCGGAATATCGTGTCTTCCGGTTAGAGGCAAGATGGAGAAGCCACTCGGCGGTAACATAATAACTGGCGCGTTCCGAGGATACGCGCCGGTGATCCTTGATCCTCTAACGATAATGTCCC